AAAAACATTGACATAAAAAAGTATCCAGAATTGTCATCTGTCATTAAGTTGGTTTTGACTCTGAGTCATGGACAGGCATGACTCAGAGTCAAACCACATCTTTATTGACACTAAACCCCCATTGAACGGGGGTTTAGTGTCAATAAGGATGTGGTTACCGATAATATATCAACAGATGGTATTGTTGGACGGCATCTTGTGCGTGATTTCATGCTTACCAACAACCTCAACCCCCACTCTGTCCAGATTACATCAGAAATGAAAGTTGCCTTTAAATCTGCTCATCAAAAATACCAGATCATGCTTGAGGAAGAGAAGTCAAAGAATAAAAAACATGCTATGTTAGATCAGAAAGCCATTATTTTGTCTGAAATTGAAGAGCTAAAAACTAAAATGGGTTTCCTTACAAAAACTTCATTGATGCTAGAAAAAGGGTTTGTCTTAACTGTGGAACAAGCGGAAAAAGAAAACAATTTATCATTGGTCAGCAAAGCGAATGCTTTAAAAAGGAAAAGCGAGGAGAAAATGAAAGACGTAGCTAAGTTGCAGGAAACATTATTGATATTAGAAGAGAAGAGAAAGAAACTGAATTAACAATAGTTGCTTTTTGACAATTTGTTTGTTTATATAAAATATTATTTATGTTGACATTTATGCAAATATGGCTAATTAAAAAACTTTAATTACATTTTCAATATAAGATTTTGCTTAAAAAATATATGTTATTTAAAATTAAATAATAGTTTTTTTTTTAATGTTTCTAAGCATGTTTTGTTATACTGTGCTATTTTTATCTAAAGGTATTATTGAATTAGCGAAGGTACAGCTACAAATAGTGATAAAAAACAACTAACCCAAAGTAGTCTCTGTTATAGACCAAATATTGCTCAAAATGTTGAAGGATATCTACATAGACATTTTAGTTTATTTTTGTGTTAGTGAAAAATAATTATATATAAAATATTTTATGTGCATAATATTTAGATTTTCTTGAAGATCATCTGAAACTAAATTTTATGTGCATAATATTTTGATTTTTTAAGAAGCTCACCTGTTGTTTATTCTTAGTCATCCTTAATAATATGCATAATAAAATCTATACTAACATCCAACTTAACTAATAGCTAAGTTTTATAAGTTTTGTCATTCTAAACATGTACATTTTAGCATTTTCATTACAGTAGTAATTTTTAACATTTTATAAAAACCATTGCAAATGTTAAAAATGGTCAGGGAAATTCATCTGATTTTTCAAAAAAGTTAGGGAAAAGTCAGGGAAAAGTCAGGGAAAAGTCAGGGAAATTTTTATAAATATGTGGCTACGAACCCTGTATATATAGCAGTTAATGTATATACACTGCACTGCACTTATGGCTGTATCAATTGATTCCTGTACAATTCAAATAAAAATAAAATTTTTGATTTGCTATTTTAGACAACTTCCATGTCATTTTTTTTATACCATCTCATAGTTTGCTATAATGACTTGATGATAAATCAGGTCAGAACACATGTCTACTATCATGTGATTTAGTAGGAGGTAGTAGACGTTTTTTATTAATACGCTTTAACATATATTTTACTTAAAAGTGTAGACTTGCTAAATCAAAGCTTTCTTAGCAAACTTATCATTTTTTGTTTATTTAAATTGATTATCTGTTTTTCCTCTATATTTGGAATTATAATTGACAGCGCCAGGAATTTGCTGATCATTCTTTATATAAGTTTTATCATCTTCAATAATTCAGAAATTTTTAAAAATATTTTTTTTTTAACATCTTCGTTTCCAACAAGGCTGCAAGCAACCACTAATTAGTGTTGGAAGTTACTGGAAGAGAGAAGATGAAGGTTGTAGAGCAAGATAATGATTGACAGATGACTTAAAAGATTGCAAACTATATGAATCAGGAAAGCAAGATGAAGGAAGGGAATTCCAAAGAACTGATGTTCGAGGAAAAAAACTAGACGAATAAGTGTTTTTAGAGCACTTAGGAACAGTAACAGAAAAAGGATGAGACTTAATTGAATGATGAGTAACACGAGAATGAATTTTAGTAGATGGCACAAGAGATGCTAGCTCTTTAGAGCAGTGCCCATTATAGTATTTGTAGAAAAGAGAAAGAGAAGCAACATTACGGCGATGTGACAAAGGTTGAAGGTTGGCTGCAAGAGCAGGTCCAACTAGAGTTGCAACCCCAAAAAAAACGGTGTGTTTTTTTAAAAAAAAACACGTTTTTTTTGCAAAAAAAACAGACTGGTTCTAAAAACATGTTTTTTATAGTTTTTTTTGCTTTTTTTTAGTATTCATTAAATTTTAGATAATAATAATACTTGAAACAGTTCCAGTGCCCTTAACCCTACAAAATACAAATGTTTTCTATTTAATAAAATGCATATTAACTTATATAATAGCTGTTACAAACTAATCACCAATATTAAAAAAAAACAGTATTAAATATTTAAAAAAGTAATTTTTTAAATAAATCTCAAAAAAACTATACTATTAGCTACTAGTTGATTGTAAGTATAATACTACTGAATGAAGGAAATAAAAATGTTATTTTAGCAGTGTTATTTCATTCATAAAAATGAATGAAATAACACTGCATTGCAAAATACAAAATTGAACCAACTGTTAAATAAAATTTACTTTAATGTTTTATTTACTTATTTTTAATATTTAATTTCTTTATTTTATTTTAAATTGCAATTAGATAGCTAAAATTTTATTTATTCAAACAATATTCAAGTAAATAAATATAACACAATGATTAACTTTGTCTAATGAAAAAACATTTATATTAAACAATTTGTAATCTATTAATTATTTTTAATTAAAAAAAAAAAAAAGAAATCTAAAAAAAAATATGCCAGACAGAAAGAAATGTTTTGTAGCTACATTGTTCAATGAGGCACCTTTAGAATCTGGAGGTTCTAAAATTCAACAAGTTATATGCAAATTTTGCAGCTTAAAGCTATCAAAAAATGGCACTCAAATGACCAAGCACATTGCAAAATGTATGAAATGTGGCGATCAAATAAAAAACAAATATTTGAACGATATGCCTTTTAAATAGAAGAAAGTTCAAACTGAACTAATGATGGAAGAAGATATTTCTGAAAACTTACCTATTCAAGACATGAAAAAAGAGAAAAAAATATATTTATCATCTGCTATTCCACAAGTTCCAATTGAATCTTTCTTTCCAACACCAAGCTGTTTTGGAAACCAAAGTAGGTCTACAACCCCTAAGTTTGGAGACTGTAAGGTAAATAAAACCAAATCAGATAAGCCTCCCTTAAAACGATTGTATTCTTCAACAAGAGTTCCATTCACAACTCAAAAAAATAAAATTGCATCCGGATACGGATGCAATTTTATTTTTCTGAGTTGTGAATAGTTGTGGATGCAATACGGATTTGACTTTACAATAGAAGACCTTAATGAACAAGAAAGCCAGAATACAGAATCTGTTATTAATTAAAAATAAATCTTTTAAATGATGTACTATATATTTACCATATATCATGTTATTAATATATATTATATTACATTTATAATAAAAATAAAAATTAAATAAAAGTAAATAATTTTTTTTTTAATCTAAAAAACAAAAAAAACCATAAAAAACACAAAAAACACAAAAAAAACATGTTTTTTTTGCAAAAAAAACACAATAAAAAAAAAACGGTTTTTTTTGCAACTCTAGGTCCAACTATATTTACAATGCGTTTTTGCACCTTGTCTAAAAGAGTAAGGACATCATTAGAAGATTCGCCCCAGATATGGCAACATTATTCCATACAAGGCCGGATTTGAGATTCATAGAGATAGAGAATAGAATCCTGAGTGAGAAAGTGACAAGCTCGATAAAGAGAAGCGACTTTAGCAGATGCTAATTTTGCAACGGATTTAATATAAGGTTTCCAAGAAAGATCAGAAGTAAGAGTTAATCCTAGAAGATGAAGGGTAGGAGACTCATTGAGTACATTACCGTTTATAAATATAGGAAGGTCTAAGTTATTGCAATAACGATTGGCTGAAAAAAATTGAGTTTTATCTGAATTAAAGTTCACCAGCCACTGTGAGCCCCATGCTGTAGCAGAAGTTAAATCCTTTTCAAGCTCAGATGCCCCCTGCAAGCAATCGGAGGGAGTTGGCTTCTTATCGTGACACGAATAAATGGTAGTATCATCAGCGAACAATGCCATCTTAGATGTGAGAATATCTGGAAGATTGTTAATGTAAGTTAAAAAGAGTATAGGGCCAAGGATTGAACCCTGAGGAACCCCTAAGGTTACAGAATAAGAAGAAGAGTGCTGTCCATCAAGGACAACTTTTATACTACGATTGGAAAGGAAGGATTCAATAATCTTAAAGATGTTTCCAGATACACCGTAAGAAGAAAGCTTATGGAGAAGACCAGCATGCCAAACTTTATCAAACGCTTTAGTCAAAAAACTGTGAACTAGTTTTCTAACTAGTTTTATATCTTGAAAAACCTCATTTCCCCAATTACCAGATTTGTGTTTGATTGATTTAGTTTAGGAAAAACATTAAACAACATGACTAACGATGTAGAAATGTTTTTCAAATTTTTGCTGCTGATTTGTAGATTTTCCATAAAATATGTGCAAAACATTTTTTTAATGTCTTCTTCTTTTGTCATTTTTAAAACTTAATTTAAGTTAAATAGAAAAAATAAAATCTTTTTTTAAAATCATTACATGTTTTGCAATCATTACACTGAAATTGTTACATACAACAAAATACTTACACAATGAAAAATGTATTAATACAAATACTGAAAAATTAATTGCGTATTTACTCTTACTTATTTATTTCGTCTACACGCTTTAGTTAACATTTAAAAGTTGATTAAAAGTACCAAAATTGTCATCCAGAAAACTTTTTTAATGTAATGAAATTATTTGAATTTTTAGATTATACTTAATGAAGGTTTTAGATTATAATTTAATGATGTTATTTGAATTTTTAGATTATACAACTATTATTAAACAATCTGTACATGCTATGAATGAATATATGTCTCCCTGTGGTCATGATGTATGGGTTGAAAAGGAAGAGAGTGATAAAAGTGGATATATTGAATTTATAACTACATTAAATGATGGGTAAGTTTTTTTGAATTAAACTTAGTCATTGAATGTTCAATTTTTGTGTCAAAATGTTTATCCTTTAGTAATGGTATGTTGGTTACATTTGAGTGTTTCATAAATATTAGGATGTTAATTGTTTTTAGGGTGTTAATTACAATTGTATTAACTATAAACTACATTTTACTACATAAATAACATTAAAATCTGGCTTACTTTGTGTAAAATATACAAGATTTTATTTTAAAGGCAGTTATTTGGTTTTTTCCTGGTAACACTTAGTTTATCATTTAAATTATAAAGAAATTGTCCACATGCATCAAAACCGGTTAAATATTTAAATCCATCAGGTTCATAAAAGTGTTCTTTGAATCAGGATTTTTATAACATTATTTGTCTTTTAAACAAAGTACAATTTAATGCATAAAGAATTTTCATCAGAAGAAGCTCTTGCTACATTAGAGTTATAGTATTGATGGAAAAAATACTGACTATAAAATTAATCATGTAGACAAAGATGTTTTATAAATAACTACATTTGATGTGCAGCTTTACTTGTGTTTTTGTACAAGAACTCTTGATATTAAAACCTCTTTGTCTCTGGAAAGGATATCATTTAGAAACAAGTTTAAACCAAGTTAAAATAAAAAATGAGTTGAAAATGTTAAAAAAATAAATAATGTAAGCAAAAAACAAAAATGTATTAAATTTGATGAACTTAAAATAGTTGCAGTTTTGATATGATCCAAAATACTGTTAACAGAATTATAAATACATGAGTTTTTTAAAATATAATATACAATTAAAAATTTTATTGTTGTTGTTTAATCTCATAATTTAAATGGAAAATAATTAAATGAGCTATGCTTTAATTTTCAAATCTGTAAAAAACTGTGATTAGTTTTGGTATAACAAAGCAACCATATTTTAAAAGTTAACTTATTTTTTTACATAATTAGTACCTAAATTAATGTATATGCTAATAAAAAAAAAAATATATTTACAGCATAACCAGGTTGTTTTTTAACATTTACCATTTTAAAAATGTCACAGAAAAATTATTTTATAAACATTTAATAAAAACCCTTTTCATTATTGTTTTTTGGTTTTGTCATTTTTGTTTTGTTTAGGTGCTGGAGTTATGTTGGAAAACAATCAACAGAAAAACAACAAATTGGCATAGGATATGGTTGCAACACCAAAGGTAATATCAGGTTACATAATACACAATAATACATAAGTTTATTATGCCAATTTTTAAACTACATAAAATAGGTCAAATCTAGAGACCAAAAAATAACAATAACAAAATTTTTTTATTTTGATAATATTAGGAAATTGTTGTATGATTGTTTAGGATTATGATGGACTTATATAAATATTTTTTATTCAAAAATTTAAAAATTAAAATCAGTTTTATTTATTTATTATTATACATTAAGTGGGCTTTTGCATATATTTTTACAAAATGTTATTTTTTGGGACACCCTAATGTTGAGGTAATAGAGTTAATTGTTTTACTAATAGAGTAAAAATTTGAACTAAATAGAAGATGATGGAAGATAAATTACAATGTTAATACTTTTATTTTTAATGTTGTATAAAGTATTAAAAAATAGTATTATTTAATTAGGGTTTTGCAAATATTCAAATTCCAAACTATTCCAATTAAAAAATTTCAAAAAAGAGTTAAAAAACAATTGCATTCACTACTATTGTAGTTGCTTGCTGCTTTGCAGCAAATTATTTATCCTGAATAAAAAATGTAAACATGACAAGATATTAAGGAGATGGTCTCAAGATATCAAGGAGATGGTCTCAAGATATCAAGGAGATGGTCTCAAGATATCAAGGAGATGGTCTCAGTAAACTTGAAATACACATAAGATTGAAAGAGTGAAAAACAAAAACAAGTTGAATTTTTTTTTAAATATAAAAAACTTTCGATTTCAGGTGAAACTTTTAGCAAATATAATTACATTTTTTTGTTGGAATTAAGAGGTTCTTTAAGAAATATATGCAGGATATAGACTAATAATGAAAAAAATAAATAAAGCTAAAGACATGTTTAGAAGGTTAATAGTCTAGATTCTAAGTTTTTTCCATATTCTATTTAATTTTGTTTACTTGTACCTATATCCCTTATTTGTACTTTATTTTTTCTTGTTTGTAACTTATATGTAACTTACTTTTAATTTATTATATATAAATAGATAAAAGTACTTTATTTATTATATATAAAAGATAAAAATGTGATTTTTAAATTAAACTATATTTATAAATGTTATATTATAATGCTCCCTCCCCCTTCTTTATTTCACAACAATTAAAAAATCTAATGATTTTACTATTTTACTAATAATGAGAAAAAAATAAGAAAAATATCTGAAATAAAAACGTTTAAATGCATTAATTTTCCAATCAATAAATTTTAATAACGTTTTCATAATATATCTTATCCTGTAAAGGCATAAACTTTAGTTTATGTTTCATTTAGTTTTATCTTTCAGATCATTCTTTTTTTTTTCTGTTATGGTATTTTGATTGAACTTGAAAAAAATGTTTTAGGTAAAGTAAACATAATATTCTTTTTAATATACTTGTTCTTTTCTCTGCTATATTTTTCTGGTGGCTTTACATTGGCTGTATGAAATACCTTATTTGCATAAGAAACTTTATACCCAACAAGTCATGTGCATTTAATTTGTAGTGATGTTATTTTTTGGGTATTTTTTAAAATAAAAATTTGTTTGCAACTTTTTGAAAATCTTCAAAATCCTGTAGATGCATTTGAATTATTTCAAATGGTTTTTTTCTGTTTACTATAAGCAAAAGTCTCATAAATGAGATTGATGAGTAATATTCAGGTGACTGTATTTTTTATATTTGCATGTTATCAACATTCTAAACAGCTGAGTGTCCTGGTACATTGTAATCATTTTAATATCATTAACTTACTAGTGTTAAGTCAGAAAATGAATCAGGGTAGTTGTCATAATTGATTTGCCGTTTTGAGGAACATAGCTATTACTCCAACTAATATATTGTTCAGCTTTAGAAAATTTTTCTGCAAACTCATCAAAAATTTTACTAACTCCACTTGCAAGTTTATTACCTTTTCTTCCTGAAGTTACTTCTGGCCACACAACACAATACTTCTGGACTTTTTTCTTTTGTAAAAAAAGCTACTAATTTTAGTGTTCTGATTTTCAGTTTTCGGAATAAAATTTTGCATATTAAAAATATGACTGCTAGATCATCTAGCTGATTATTACAGTCATATGTTCTTTTTTCACGCATTTTTTTTTTTTTTCTGCATATAGGCTTGATATATCTTTTCATGCTTTTCTCAAGTTGTTTACTTTCTCTTACTACTTTATAGGCTTCACAAGCTACACATCATGTTTATTTTTAGCGTACCAATCAAAGGATCCTTTTCTTCATGCATATTGTAAATAACTTTTTGACTAATACATAGTGTTAGTATGAAAAACATTTTGCAAACTTTGATTTCTTTTTTTGCTACCACAATAAAATTATTAAAAGGAATGTAATCTTTTTGGAAAATTTACTTTAGTCTAACAAGCTGTTATATTATATCTTGTATATGAAATAAAAAGGTTTTGCCCATTTTATACCTTCTATGCCTTGAAATAAAAAAGTTTTTTTTGTCCATATTGTAGTAAGACTGTTTAATATAATTTCTCTATTCATAATTAAGTTTTTCATTGCATTTATACTTGCAGTTTTTTTTTACAGGTTACAGAAATTATATTTGAGTATTAATATTCATGTAAGACTCTTCTCTGGCATATATAACTCTAGCATAATTTTCTATGCTTATTCATTTTAAAATTTTTGGACGTCTATCTTTTTTTAGCCTTTATAAAATCTATAAAATAAAAACTATAACAAAGAAAATATAAAAGGTTGAGTTTAAGTTATAAAATGTAACCTTTGCCATCATTCTCATCAATAAAACATAATTATGAAAGTGATCTGTATATATTTTTATTACATAGTTTTTCACACAATATAGAGTAAAAATTATTTGATTTTTCTATTCAATTATTGTTGTTCAAAAACAATACTGTTGTTACAAAAACAATTATTGTTGTTCAAAAACAATTTTAAACTAAATTGTAGAATGAAATTTTATGATAAAGTTAATATTATAAAAAATAAAATTAACACATTGAGAAAAACTTAAATTTACAGTTTATTCAGCAAAAAAAGGATAAAAGTATTAAAAAAGTGTCAAATCATATTCAAGTTTTGGCATTTGTAGCCTGAACTAATTTAAGTAATTCCCAATAAAAAGAGTATTTTTGTTATTAAAATCTGTAATTAAAATAAAACTGTTAAAACTTTGCTTGACTTATTATTATTACTATAGTAATTTTTATCATTTAAGTTACGACTACCTTCAGACAAAATACTATGATCAAAGTCTTTATTAATTGCATTTAAAACCTCAAAAATAATTTTTTATTTATGCGAGTAGTCATCTTTAAATTAAAACCTAAAATTAGTTGGTTATTTATGCCCATAGAACCTTATAGCACAAAATTTTTTTAAAGAATCTTATAAAACTAAAAGATAGTTACAATACAATGCTCTACATATGGAACTTGAAAAAAACTTGGTCAACTAAAAATTTCAGGAAAAGGTTTTAACAGATAATACACTTTGTCTACATCATCATGTTAATAACTAATTTTTTTCCTGAAATGTCAGTTAGAAGCATATAATTCTCATGCAACATTTTTTCATTTTTCTTAAATTTAATGGTAAAATAAAATTTTCTATTTTGATTAAATAAAGTTTTTTAAAAAACTTTTGAATTAAGTTGGTAGATGTTTTTAATTAAATTGATAATTGTAAAACTATTTTTTTTGTTTTGTTTGAAATATGTTTAAATGCAGCTTAAAGTTCTGAACAACTAAAAACTAAAAAATCTTTTTCCTGTTTATAAAATTTATAAAAAGCTTCCCCTTTTTATGTGACTGCTATTTTACTCTTGTCCAATACTTTTGAGTAATGCACTCTTATTTTATCAGGAACAATTCTTCATGAAATGCTTCATTCCATGGGTGTTTTACATGAGCATCAACGCTGTGATCGTGATAGTTACATCGAGATTGTAAAAGATAATGTTGACCGTATTATAGAAGGTATGTTTATATATTGTAATTCATTTCATCTTAACAGAATATTATTATATATATATATATATATATATATATATATATATATATATATATATATATATATATATATATATATATATATATATATATATGTCTATATATATATATATATATATATATATATATATATATATATATATATATATATATATATATATATATATATATATATATATATATATATATATATATATATATATATATATATATATATATATATATATATATATACTTATTGTGTGAGTTGCTGCGGCTACTTTATGAGCCTTAGTTACAACTTAGGATTAATTAGCTGAACTGAGATAACTGCATAGCTCATTGCTTGGGATGCCATGCTCTATAAACCAATAACATAAACATAAAAAAGCATCACCACCATCTAACTGTTTCAATGTATCTTTTACAATAATTGTTTGTCTTTGAAGAAACCTTTTATCATTTAAATTTTATCTGTTGCATTATCATTGTAAAGTTCACCTGACTTGCTCACTCTCTGTGATACTAATTTAAATTTGAATGTTCCTTCTTCAGATATAAGGAATGATGAATACTATCCTTTGGGAGGTTATCCTTGTTGCATCAGGAGTCATACAGTTCTCACACTCATAGTACTGGTTGCTTCAGGCAATGTTGATTGAAGATTCGTCCAGTGGTTTTGCAAGCATCTGAGACCTTTTGGATAGTAATTTAGCACTGCAGATAGTTCATCAAAATCTTAATGCAGAACAATTGACTGCTAAACTAATAGTTAGTCCATGAGTAGGAAATAAATAAACAGATTTTACGCCACCTGCTACGGGTTTCAGGCATCAGAATAAATGCAAGAAGGGCTAGAAGGGCTTAAGAGTTCCAGCGTGCATTGCTTATATTTAGGATCTGTTGAAACTTTACAATGGGTATCTCATTTATCTCACTGTGGTGATTGAAGACACAAGAGATATAGTAAAGAAACTTCATGTTATTTCTCCAGCTACTTGTTTCCTTAATCTCATTTTTTGTTGCTGAAGGCTGATTTTAATTCAACATAATTGTTCATCGAATTCTTCACAAAGAAATCAATCCATTGAACTCATTGTCAATGGCAACAGGAAGTATATTATCCAGCACAGGGTGTTAGCAACTGATGAATTTGGGTTCGTGGTAACTTTTCTCTTCAAAAATCTGGTGCAGCCAAACAACAATGCCTGTCTTGCCAGTATTAACACTTTTGTATTGGCAACAATAATCACAATTGATCACAGTTTAAGTTCCTCTAACACATTGTGAATTCTGTGATTGTTTCCTATTTTTTAATTTTAGTGCAGTCAACTTAATTTTTTTGTTTTATTCTTGAGAACCACTGCCTGATATCAAATCCATCAATGTGTTTGCCGTAAAAGGGTATGCTCTTTTTATCCAGTTGAAGCATGCTTACCAAGTGTTTCTTCATCTGAACAGCTCTTATATATATAGCTTTTGTATATTGACGACTGGCATGGGGTTTCAATGCCTGCACCAGAAAGCTGGCAGCTCATCTTTGCTGCTCTATGGGAAGACAGCTTCAAGAATGTAACATGGCTTGAAATGCATATTGGGTGATGCTTCCTTTTGCTTATTGATGCTGTAATCTCATCAACCCAAAAAATGTTTTTACAGTTTTTTGAAGATTCCAGAGTTCATGCTATTTTCAGACAAATTTACAAATTACAACGCTTTTCTAAACTTGATATCTTGTGTGTTTGTTTTTCGGTCCGGTTAGAATGTTTGAAGCTATATTTAACCCACTTTCCGACTAGCTAGAGCTCTAAAACTTTCAGGATAGCTTAGAACCCGATGACAATGCAATTTAAAACCATTTTCAAGCTTCGGCAGTCAATATTTCTCTCAATTTCAACAAAATAAAGTTTTATATGCAGCAAAAATAAATAGTGACTTTAGTGAGCACTTAAAGAAAATATTTGTAACGGACAAAAAGTATTTCAAATAATTTAGCATGCGTATTGAAAAAAATTTAGTAAATATAGAAATAATGGTGTAAGTGTTAAAAATAATTTTTGAGATAAAAACTGAGTTTAGGAAATCGCATAGTAAAATATAATTGTGTATAAAATATAATTGTGTATATAAAAGTGAGTAAAATTTAATAAAAAAGTGTTAAGGATATTAATATAGAAGGTAGGAGTGAATGAAATTTAGAAATAATTAAAACAATTAATTCAAGTAGGAATGGTGTAAATAGACTTAAGTGTAATAATTAGTTATGACTAAGTAAATACTAAGACAATTATTAGATTATTATTAGACAATTTATTTAATTTAATTATTAGACATTGTTGGTTTTGCCTAGTAAATACTAAGACAAAACCAAGCCTGATTTCGTTGTAATTCCTTATTTTAAATCATTTCAAAGATTCTAACCAAACAAGTCTAAAAAGTAAAAAATAATCTTCAACAAAAAATGAATTTTTCTCAAAACTATGTTTTTCAAGCAAAATAATAGAAAGTAATTTTTCATTAAGCTTGTCAGAATGTTTGATTATATTCCTCTTATTTTGATGACAGATTTTATAGCAAATTAAAACGAAAAACATTGGGCGCATGTTATAAAATAAAAAATTGGTGATCGACCAATATTTAATGGTTTTGTTAATCATATATCAATGCAATATATCTACACTGATCATTAAAATGGCCAACTATATTTAAATAAAATAAAAAAAAAAAAAAAAAAAACTATATTTAACCCTGACTGATAGATACACTTAAATACATCCACACAAAAAAAGCATTAAATCCAATGTTTTATTGCATAATGTCATAATATTATCAAATCACCACTTGCGTGTAACGTTTTTCATTTTATGTATATCAAAATTGTTATAAAACCTGTCTTCATTATAAGAGGAATATAATGAGACATTCTGAAAAGCTCAAAGAAAAATTATTTTCTACTCTTTAGTTTGCTTGAAAAACCTTGTTTTTAGAAAAAAAAATTTTTTTATTGTAGATTATATATATATATATATATATACATATATACATATAAGCCCAATTATGCCAAATTTTTCTAACCTAATATTTGGCATAATTGGGCTTGATAAGCAATGAGTTAAAGACTGGCTCTCACTTCTCACTTTGTAAATGACCATTCAGAATGGTCTATAGGTATGATGGGACAGTATATTCATAGAAATTCTTATGAAATTAAAAAACAGAACAGATTGCTCACAGTAGACAAAGTTCGATCTGTATTTAGATCACCAAAACAAAAATCCAGTACATTTTTAAAAAGTAAATTTAAGGATGGTCTTGGTGTGTAACAAAAAAAGGTAAAGAGATAAACTTGATAACATAATTAGATGGTCAAATTTTTTTTTTTTTTATTATGAAATTTAAAATATACATTTATCTTTTTACTTACCTTCACTCATTTTAATTCTTCAGTATAAATTAAAATTAAATTTTTAAATATAGGTAACTGACATTCCAGCGGTCACAGCCAACTATTGTTTATACTTTTTGGCAGAAGTTCATTGCCCTCTCATGCATGAGGGCGCAATAAAGTTGGTTGCCCCCTCGGTCATGTTTTTTGAACAAGCATTGGGGTCTGTGTTTTTATATATAAACACAGGGCTTAATAATTTATTTAACATATATATATATATATATATATATATATATATATATATATATATATATATATATATATATATATATATATATATATATATATATATATGTATATATATATATATATATATATATATATATATATATATATATATATATATATATATATATATATATATATATATTTAAGCATAACATTAACTACAAAAAATATCAATTTTCATGATTTTCAATACTACCAAACAAAGGTTTTTGAGGTGTAACAAAAAAACTATATATTTTTAAACTAAAATATAAGTCTATATACATAGTAAAAAAAAAAATTATAAAAAAAAATTCCCTCAAGATTGAAAAAATGATCAAAAACAAGTCCAAAAATGACCAGTTTTTGATCATTTTTTCCCCTAAATTTTTGGCTTGAGGGGGTTCAAAGGTAATCCGATAATGCTCAAACTTTTTGAGGCTTATTTTTATATATTAACCCCAAATTTAGGGGGTACAATTTTTTAGATTTGAAAATTTACTTTTTTTGACTACCCCTAATATATATGTGTAATATATGGAACTTTATATTTTAATTGCACTTATACTAAGTATATATATAGTTACACTATAACAATTACATACAAAAAAATACTAACTGCTTTATTTGACCTTTAATTTGAAACTGAAAACTAGAATGGATGAAGCAAATGCACTTTAATAAACAGTTAAAATTAATTTTTAACTATTCACAGACCAAACTAAGTTAACATTATACTAAAATTTTTCTATGCAAGATACAATTACATATATTAGTTAGTGATCGACCGAAATTTGGTTCGGTTCCGGTTCCGGTCATAAATTTGGCCGGAATCGAAATTCCTGTTTCGGTTCCGGCTAGATTTGAGATTTCGGTTTCGGCCGGAATTTCGGTTCTAAATGCTACCGAAAATAGATATTATAAAACTTTAATTTAAATAAATTATTTAGCATTGTAGCGTAAATATATTTTGATTAAAAAAATTTAAATAATTTTTTTGCTAGTTATTTCAACTTCTTATATTATTTTTTGCGTCCGATCGCGTTGTTACTTTTATCTGGTTTTTAATTATCATGTTTAAAATATCATGATCTACAAATTTAATGACGCTACAATGTTATCTACATTGTAGAGTCATATGTTTATGGACTTGATTATTTATTTATTTTAATTATCGCATGGAATTGGTAACGGTAAAATCTTTACGAACTTGGTGATTTTTTTTTAAATTATCACGTGGAATTTGTTTGAAATAAATTAAAAAAGTTTTTATTGGTTTCATTCATTTTTTTAAAGCAAGTTGTTTTAATGTTTTCTCGTCGTTAAAACATTAAAACAATAATGTTTTCTTGTTGTTATAACTTTTTTAATGTTTTCTCGTTTAAATTGTTAATTGTCTTTTTAACGAACTTTTTAATGTATTGAACTTTTTAATGTAACGTAAGAAATTTTTCTTAAATAAATTAATAATTAATATAATTTTCTTAATATAATTAATAATTAATATAATTAACAAAGAACTTGTTAATTATATTTTAAATCCTTGTTCTTGACTCAAACTAGCAACATTAAAAAACTCATCTGATTAAGTTCTTCGATTTCATTCTAATAAAATGAGCTCAAACCGAAAAACAAGTTTAGTGTGGAAGTACTTCATAATTGAAGCAAACAATCCAAGAATGGTTCAGTGCAAAATCTGCAACAGCAAAGTTTCAAGAGGATCTGACGACCCAAAAAAACAAGGATTAAGTGGACTCACGTCACACCTGAAGAATCATCATCCTGACATCAAACTTACGCCCAAATTCCAACAAGAGAAAGGCAGTTACAATCTTCAACATGCAATCAAAAAAACAAAGATCCGACATGTTACAATCTACAATTCCAAACTGGGTTCAAGCTTCTTCAAAAATTGACTCTAATTCTGAAAAAGGCCAAAAATTTCACAAGTTAATTTTTGAAATGATGATTCTTGACCTCCAACCATGGTCTATTGTCAATGATGCTGGATTTTTGAGGCACCATGCTCTTATTGCTCCAAATTACGAAATTGCTAGCGAAAAATACTACAGAAGTTTACTGGATCTGACTTACGAAAAAATTAAAGTTGCTCTCAAGGAAAAGCTGGTTCAATCAGAAGCTGAAAATGTGTCTGTCTGCCTTGATGCATGGTCATCATTTCATCATGGCTATCTGGGAATGACTGTTCACTTTATTTCCAAAGACTGGAACCGTGTCAAATTCTGCATCTCTTGTTCTCCATTTGATGAAAGTCATACTGCAAAAAATATTTTCAAAGAGATCAAAGCAGCAGCAGAGGAATGGGAAATTTCTTCAAAAATTGGAGTTTGCTTAAGAGACAACGCAACAAATGTAAAAGCAGCCTTCAATGAGCCAAGCTGTAATTATAAGTCAGCTGGATGCCTTAACCACTCCCTTCAACTTGTGATAAAAAAAAACCTATTATCAGATCCTACCATCAACGAACTGATTGAAAAGAGTCGAAAACTTTGTTCTTACGCATCCCATTCTATTGGTTTCTACACTGAACTTTACAGACAGCAAGAAATCCAAATGGATAGAAAAGACAGACTTGGCTTAAAAAACGATGTTGCCACAAGATGGAACTCTACCTATTACATGCTTGAGCGAATTTTACACCTGAAACCAGCCATTGCTGCAACCTTACTCAAATTTCCTTCTGTGGGAATTGAATTTTCCGTCCAAGATTGGAGCCTCTATGAAAAAGTGGTGAGGATTTTAAGTGTTTTTGAGGAGGCAACAAAAATGTTGTCAGGTAGTGATTCTTGTATCAGTTCCTGCATTCCAATTGTGACAACAATAATTAAAGCTTTGGAAACAACCTCCGGCGACGTCAGTGTTCAGAAATTGAAAATAGCTATGAAAAATGCAATGGAAAAACGTTTTTCAGCAATTGAAAAAACAGAACATTATTCAGTTGCTACTTTACTTAATCCAAAATACAAATGGTATTTTTTCCGATCTCAAGCTGCTTTGCAAAATGCCAAACACATTGTCATGTCCCAAATGGAGAATTTTGAACCTCTTGAAGATGAATTGGCTTCTGTTACTCAAATTCCATCTGGTGACAATGAAAAAAACACGGCATTCTCGCACATAATGTCAAAAATTATTGCACAGTCTCAAACAGGACCAAATGAGCATTCATCTTCCAAAATGACGAGGGAAGTGTTGAAGGACTTTTTGGATTGTCCAATGGCTTCTCATTGCCTAGAATTTTGGAAAAACTATGAAAAAAATGCGACTAGCAAAATCAAGTTAGCATTGACTAAGGTGGCAAAAAAGTACCTCACACCACCCCCAACATCCACAGATGTTGAAAGATTGTTTTCTACGGCTGGAGATATTCTATCTAACGAAAGAAACAGACTCCTTCAGTAAAATTTGGAAAAACTCCTTTTTTGTCGAGAAAATCTTGCAGTTGTTGGATTCTGCTATTAATCATTTTTTATTAATTTAACTTTGTGTTTTAATTGGAATAAACTTGCAAACAAAAACTATTATTTATTTTCGGTTCCGGTTTCGGTTTCGGCTCTGGTTAGGGTTTACTTTCGGTTCCGGTTCCGGTTAGGAATATTTAAAATCTATTTTCGGTTCGGTTCCGGTTCCGGCAAAATTTCAGTGCCGGTCGATCACTAATATTAGTTGACACTGTTTATAACAAAAATTTTTAAAAAATTTGAAGAATTTAAATAAAAGAAAACTTATATTTTTAGCCCAACAAGAAGAAAATGAAAATGAAGAAGATAATGAAGAAGAAGAAGATGAAGAAGAAGATGAAGAAGAAGAAGAAGAAGAAGAAGAAGAAGATGAAGAAGAAGAAGAAGAAGATGAAGATGATGAAGAAGATAGTGATGAAAGTGATGATAGTAATGGTGATGAAAATAGTGTTGACGAAGCATTGGCACAGTTTGAATGCTACTATTCTATCAAACAAACACATTATTCTTCTGTAAGAGTTTTTTTAAATAATATTTTAATGTCTAGTTAAATACTTAAAGATACTGAAATTCTTTTTTTTTAAAAAGTGGTAAAATTTTTAAAAATAACAATAAATAAAATACAAGATAAGACTTTATGGTAAATGAGATAAAAATTATTACAGAATATATATAGAATGTAGATATATTGAATATATTATATAGAATATATAGTGACTTTTATAAAAATTGCTAATAATTTAAACTGAATTAAATTTTTTTAACCTTGAAACAAAAAATTCTTTTAAAGACAATAAGAGTCCAGAGTCAAATAAGATTTTTGGTTGATATTATTAAGATATACCCAGAAGACTTTATGATCTTACCTCAGAGCCTAGCAGAAGAGCGTTAATCTAAAAGGTTTCAAACAATAAAAATTCATTGTTTGGAAAAATATATTAATTTAATTTAAAGAACAATTGAATCCATAGCATTTTACTTAAATTGTCATCAGTAATGCTGGAAATAGAAAAAGTATACCACATTCCTAAGTTTTTTTTATAAATAAATAGTAAATTGCTGATGTAATAATTGTAGAACAATACTAATATGCATTAATTTTCTGTAAAATTTTCAAAAAATAATTAAAAAAATGATTAAGTTTTAATTTTATTGTTTGCGTTAACATTTTAGATTTGCTAGTTATTGCTTGGATTTCTGATTCAAAAACTCTGATTATTGTCTTTTCTTTCTCTTTTCTGTTTCTATTTCAATTATGTTAATTTTTTTCTATTTCAATTATGTTAATTATGTTTTATTTATGAGATCTGATTTGAAATTTAAAGTAAAAGAAATTTAATATTAGAAAACTAAATAGAAAATACAGAATTTATTTACACATTCCAGAATTCAATCAGGGTATATTTTCAGTTATTAAAAATATTTAGTTCTGCAATAATTTATTTTTTTTACAATTTATTTATGTTTCATAATAAATCAAAAACTCATAGATAAACAAAGAAAATACTATTTGACAAAGTTTGTCAAATAGTATTTTCATTTAGTACTAGTGTATCTTGAAATGTATTTTTTTTAATGTGTAAAACAGTTTTCATAATAAATTAAAAATATTGAGTGTTTCTTAAAACAGTAAAATTGTTGCAACTAATTTTTACTGTTATTTGCCCCTTGTAATATTTACATAGCTTATAAATCTATGAATAAATCCGTAATGGGTATAACATATATGGGTTATAATCTGTTATTAATGTTTAATTGTTAATTGTTTTTTTCAATTAATTACTGTTTAAATATTAGTTTTAGTTTAAATAAAGAAATTGACAAAAAATTTATTTTTAGATCTGCTAAAAGAAAAAATTTCTGGTTTTCAAACTTTAAAGTTAGAAATGAAGGATTTTTTTTTCACTCAAGCATAATAGTCTGATTTGCAATTTCTCATATTTTGACTATTTCATGCCATATTGATTGGATTCTTAATATAATACCTTCTAATAATTTTCTGTAACTGTTCACCAATTTAAATAATGCACAAAAAACACAATAGTATAAACAATACAGAGAAATAAATTACAATATAAGTAATGCTCAATAATATACGTTCATATTAACAATGCACATAAATTAAAAAAACTTTAGATAATTGTCCTTTTTGTTTCTTTCATTCAGTTTAATTTAGGATGTTAAACATCTGAGCCTTTTTCATATATTATTGTGATTCTTTTTTCATTATTGTTTATAGTTTGCTTTTATTTGTTTTGTTTTAATAATGTTTTTTCTTTTCAATATTATTTTTTGTAATCTGAATAATTTCAAAAAAACTAAAATTTTCAGAAGATTTAAATAATTTAAAAGAATTATTATGATTAAAATAATATTAAAAAATAACAATAATAACAAAAAAAAAAAAAAAAAATTTAAAGTTATCGTTTCTGTTTAGCCCTATGATATTTTCTCCATTATGCATTATGATTTATGGGCTTTATCAAAGAAAAGAAAACGTACAGCCAACACAAAAACAATAAGATTAAAACCAGAATTTATGAATTTAACAAAAGATATGGAAGAACTAATTGGTAAAATGGGTAGAATGAGTGATACAGACAAGCAAGAGATCAATACACTGTACGGATGCATTAGTATGTAATTAGAGTATTTTATATATAGGCAATATCTATTTTATATATATATATATATATATATATATATATATATATATATATATATATATATATATATATATATATATATATATGTATATATATATACATATATATATATATAATATATATATATATATATATATATATATATATATATATATATATATATATATATATATATATATATATATATATATATATATATATATATATCATATCAGCCCTTGACATTAAGGTCAGCATTCAGCCATTCTATGTTATATGGTAAATTTTTTCAGTAATATATATATATATATATATATATATATATATATTTATATATATATATATATATAAATATATATATATATATATATATATATATTTATACATAAATATGTATATATATATATATATATTTATTTATACATATACATATGTATATATATATATATATATATATATATATATATATATATATATATATATATATATATTTATATAAGCATGATATTTATATATTTTATATACTTTATACTTTAAATAAAATCACTCATTAAATTTGTTTCCTGTATATTTTACATAAAATTTTGTAAAAAAACCAGATAAAAAATCTTGACTGGTTTTTTTGGCCCATAATGTAAATATATATATATATATATATATATATATATATATATATATATATATATATATATATATATATATATATATATATATATATATATATATATATATATATATATATTTATACATAAATATATATATATATATATATATATATATATATATATATATATATATATATATATATATATATATTTATACATATACATATGTATATATATATATATATGTGGTTTTTTTACAAAATTTTATGTAAAATATACAGGAAACAAATTTAATGAATGATTTTATTTAAAGTATAAAGTATATAAAATATATAAATATCATGCTTTTAACACGTATATATAAAATGTATATATATATTTAAAAAGATAAAAAAAACTACCAAAATGTTTTTTTAAAGAAAATCAACATTAAAGCATTAAAAGACATATTTTATAATGTAATGATGATTTCATAAATACAAAAGTATTACCAAATATACATAGTACAAAATAATTGTTGACATAATTATTGTATTCTAGTATTATCTTGAAAGAGTCATTTTATTTGAAACAAAATCTCAAAATCTTGGTCATTGTACTTGGTCATAGCCATCTTTGCTGTTAAGACTGCTTTGATTCTTTAGGCATACTGTCAACAAGCTTTGTTAATAACAATGGTTCTAAGCTATTCCATGCCTCTTTTACGTAATTGAAAAGACAAACTTTATCATTGCACATTCTTCTTTTAATTTTATCTTTGAGTATTGACCATAGGTTTTCAATTGGCTTTAGGTCGGTAGATTGGCTAGGCCACCATTTCAGAGTTAGCATATTTTTTTCAACATATGCTTTGTTATATTTTGCAGTGTGCTGAGGATCATTGTCTTGTTGAAAATGATAGTTACCATAGTTATCATCTGGAATAATTCCAAGCAACTTGGCTTTGCATTATGAACAAGGATTATGTAGTACTGGCATTAATCCATATTGCCTTTAATCTTGTGAATCCTTCCTGTAGCATCCGTGGCAAAGCATCTCTATATGTTAATCTTTTTTTGATGCTCAACTGTGGTTTTTATACATTCATGGTGATACTTTTCATTACTACGCCTCCAAACACGAAATCTTCGATTGCATCTAAAGCTAAAAGGAGACACATCTGACCAAACAATTTGTCTCCATTGGGTAATAGTCCAGTCTTTATGCTCACTGCACCATTGAAGCCTACGTGCAATGTTGATCTTTGATAAAAGAGGTTTTTTGATAGCCCAATGAGAATCTAAATTTTTACACTCATGTAAACGATGAATTATGGTTTTTCCAGAAATATTTGGAATACCAGTTTCTGCTTCTATCCCATCTGTAGAAATAAGTAGAGGTGTAGCAGATATTTTTGCTTGATACACAGGATATTGAACGTTTCTCAAGTTCTTTAAGTGTTTATGAAGAAAAAACAAGTTTTTCCATTCTACATTAAATAGTGCTCAAGATTTAAAAAAATAAAATAAATAAAAAACTGGTATAACACAGGTATATACGTTAATAATGTATAAGGAATAATCGTTTTTACAGAAAAATTTTTTTTTTTTTTAATTTACTTTTTTCTATACTTCGTCAGCACATATCTCATGTCATACAGTTTTTTTCTTGATTTTTTAAAGTAAGATCTTGAATACTATTTATTGTAGACTGGCAAGACTTGTTTTTTCTTCATAGACACTTATAGAACTTTAGAAACGTTCAATATCCGGCGTATCCAGCAAAAATATCTGCTACACCTTTAGAAATAAGGGAATTTTTAAGGGGAGCTTGGACAATGCGTCTATCTTCTATTTTAGTAGTTTTTCTTATTCTTCCTAATCCAGATGAACTGTTTCTCCTGTCCCCTTATACTTCTTTAGAAAATCAGTAACGGTACTTTTTTCGCATCCAACCTTGCTAGCAATATCTTTATGAGTCATACCAAAGTATGACATCTCAATTATTCTTCCTTTACTAATGTCATTTAAAACCATTTTTATATATTATATATTTATCTAGTCTAAAATGTAATAAATTAGCATATTTAATCATTAATAAATACATCTTAGAATTTTGTTATATAAACAGGGTTAGGGTAAGGTTAACCCTGTCTATCTACAATTTATATTTAATTACAAAATAATCAAATAACTTAAGAGTTATTTAACCATAGCTATGACAAATAAGATCCCAAATAAGAAATTGTTGAAAAAAAGAAGAAAAAAGTTACTCAATATGAAACTCTTTTATAATATATAAGAAATGAGATATAAGACATTTAAATAAACAAGAAATATGCAAAAGTTGAGATATTGGTTTAAATATCTGAGAAATGTTTTTAAAACCCATAATATGTAAATTTTTCTGCAAAAAAATCTTGGCCGGTTTTTTTTGGCCCATACTGTATATAAATTTAATATATATTTTATATATATGTATATATATTATATATATATATATATATATATATATATATATATATATATATATATATATATATATATATATATGTATATATATATATTATATATATATATATATATATATATATATATATATATATATATATATATATATATATATATATATATATATATATATATATATATATATATATATATATATATGACAGCTTATGTATATATATAATATATGTTATATATAACCTATAAATTATATATATTATTATATTATATGTAATTATATTAATATACATATTTAAATTTTTATTAGAAAAAACTTAAAATACTAGGGCGAGTTGAATATTATATACAAGTAATTGTATTTAAATTTGAGTAAAAAAAAAAAAAAAGGTCCTCTAAGGTAGACAGAATTCTTAGACCGGTATGCCCAAAAAATTTCTGGTCACTGATATATATATATATATATAATATACATTATATATATATATATATATATATAAAAATATAAATATATATATATATATATATATATATATATATATATATATATATATATATATATATATATATATATATATATATATATATATATATATATATATATATATATATATATATATATATATATATATATATATATATATTAGGGTTGGTCGAAATGTAAAAAATATTAAGTTGGAGATCCTGTACATGTCTAAAAAGTTGCATTTTGATGTACTCGTTTAAAAAAACCTCACTTTTTATTTTATGGACAGTGTCTACAGGTCCCAACTCTGACTAGAAAGACTACATAAATACCTAGTGTAAGTGTAATGTATTGCAATGCATTACAAATTAAAAAGAAATGTAAACTGTAACAAATCTATGTTAAACAGCAACAATACAAAGTTGTTTAACCTAACTGTTAGTAAAATCTTTCTTGCTGTCTCTTTTTGGTATCTCTAATCTGGATTTCTTACTCTGTAACACCATGCCATGACGGGACTTTTTCCTATAAATTTTCCAGCTCGCAGCGCTAACGTCTTTAATTGTTCTCTCTACTGCCTGTGAATGACATGGAACATTGGGCAGTAGTATTGGATGTGTGTAAGTAAGTTGATCATTTGAAAGGTGTGATAGCATCGGAGGAGACGTAACATTACTCTGGTCCCAGTCAATCATGTTAATGAGCGATGTCGCAGCCAGATTTAATGTTATATCCTTCTTATCAAAGATGCGAACCGGTATGTTGTTATTAGTCTGCTTCTCTCTTGCTCTTATTATTTGTTTTACTGAAAAAAAACGAAGAATTTCTATTTCACTATCACTAACTGCAGCTAGCAGAATGTTTTCAGCATGTGCAAAGTAGCAGTTATTTTTGAGAACAGGACGAACCACAGCCTGATTTAATGCATCAAGTTCCTGAAACAACTGAACTAAGTAAAAGAAGTTGTTAGCACCATTTTGGCAAGAAGAATTTGATTTGATTTTGAACCAACAGGGTCCATAAAAGTTCAAAATGAAATGCGTTACTCTTCTGAGAGGTTTAGGTGCCACCCTCTAGACATGTAGAGACACAAAATCCTGTTGGCTTTCGTCAACCACCGAGCATGACTTATATTTCCAGGTAAATTCTTCTAAAGGTAATCAATATCTGTAGAAACCTGACGTCCACATTGTACTGCTAAACATGCTTTCAAAAAGTATAGTTGATCTGTGCTAAGATCCTTCTTGACAGCTTCATCACAGTCAGTCACCTTACCAGTAATTGGCAAATAATTAACGACAGGTGTGTTTTCATTTGTATCATATTCTAGAGCTGAGCTAATTGTACCTGTCGATGTGGAAGGTCCTGTAGTTCGAGCAAAATCCACGCCTGCCAAAAACCTCCTAAATGGCAGCTAGTTACAGTGTAGAAGGCATACCAACCACTGTAATGGTCTACCTAAGTTCTCCTCCAATT